TCCCCCCCCCCCCAACAGTTAGGAAGGTTTGGGGAAGAGTTTTCAAAGAAGAATTAAGAGCAACAGGATATTGAATGCTTAACACTCCTTAGGGACTTCTCACCCTTACGGGACTGGGAGAGTCCAATGGCCTCTGGAAGGAAGTACTATATTGACCTGAAATTGAAAAAAAGAGAGAAGATAGCTAGGTAAAGAAGCATGTTAGGAAAAGGGAGGAGAAGGATGATCCAGGAAGCAGCAATTTTAAGTCAGGGGGCAATTTTCTAAGAATTCTGTTCCCTTACCAGTAATGCAAAATGTTGCTCTCAGTTCACAGTCTTTAAATCTTTTTATTTTTTAAGTCCTCATGCACGGACATGCATGCTTAAAGAGAGGAAGGGAGAAAGAGAGAAACATTGATCAGTTGCCTTCCATAAGTGCCGCAACCCAGGATCGAACCTGCAACCCAGGTATGTGCCCTGACCTGGAATCGAACCAGCAACCTTTAGGTGCACAGGACTACGTTCAACCAACTGAGCCACTCCAGCTGGGCAAATGTCTTTAATTCTTAAAGGCAAGCTGGAACACATTACTTAAGATTTTCCTTAGCTGATCTTCTAATGATAAAGGATAATTTATAGAGTGTCTATAAGTTATACTTTATTAAAGCCTTCTTTATTCTGTGATGGAAAACTATATTGAAATATAATATAGGTTATATGTGTATGAATTAAATGTAATATATACATAGGCCTTTCCTTCCATGATACAAAGAATTTTGGGGGCCTGAACTTCTAGGTGGCTTATGGAACTTTTCCTAAGAACAAAGAATCAATTATTAAGTGAGTGCTCTATTTTAAAATAGGCTGTAGGTTTTTAAACAAAGAAAGATTTAGGTTCAAATATCAGCTGACTGACTGACTTTATGGGAATTTCTTAATCTCTAGGTCTGTTGCCTTGTCTTTGAAATAGGGATATTAATATTCACAAAAAGTGTCTGGGGATTTTGAAATTGAATGTATAAAGTACCTAGTATATAGCTACCACTTAATTTCTCTCTAATATTATGATTTTTACTACTATAAATTTGAAAATACATTTTATGCTTTAGAATCCCAGAGCTGTTGTCCTGGCTAAAACAGTTACAAGTAAAGTTGCATAATCCTCCCACCCTCCATTATCCATCCAGCCAAGGACAAATGGATATATGTGTCACAACTGGCAGTCAAGAAGGTCTTTGTAAGGTAAGATTAAAAGGAAAGGGTACCACACATTAAAAATCAAATATTTTCATAAATACAGGCATCTCTCACTGGCCAACAAAAAGATCGTGTTTTGTGATTTACTGGTAGTCTTTCTTGTCTATACCTAGAGTTATAAACAGCGATCCTAAAGACATTCACCAATCTGATTTTTCTTACACATAGATCATGTTGTCGGTGACCCAGAGCTATGAGTCGTTCAAACAGAATTCCTATTAAAGGAGTACTCAGCTCCTACCAGAAGCTTTAATGAGCACTGCTTAATTTCACCTAGCTCAGAGATTCAGGTTACATTTTGTTTTATGCTATTTTAGTTATGAAATTTCAATATAATTTTTAACTTATTTAGTGGGCATATCCTGATACTCTTCAGATGACATATGATTCCTGTTCATGTCTGCTTATGTAATCATCTGTGCTCGCCGCTGCTGTGTCTTGTCTTCCTCCTGGCTATGCTTCTCTAGATCTGTACATGTCTGTGTCTCTGACTTTTCTCTGGTCTGTCTCTCTCTTTCTCTCTCTCTCTCTATTACATCTGCTTCTCTCTTGGGTACCAGGAACTTCACAGATGTAACCACCACTGGGTAGTTTCCCCAATAAAGAGACTGTACCTATAGTTCTCAATTTCATCTATTTTTTTTTCTTTTCTCTTTTATGACTAATTAGTTCTGGGTAAAGATTCTCTATATTCAATCTTTACATCTAGATTAAAATATGACTACTATTTATCTTAAACCAGAGGAGCTTCCTTTTTCTTCTTTCTTTATATAAATATGAAAGCTGTAATCTGGTTAACTTTAATGAATTTTAGTTAAATTATTATTACAGAATAATTGAAGGAATAAGAATCTTTATAATTTTTTCTCCATCTTTTTTATTTAATTAGGAAAAATAAAAGTATTAGCTACTGTTTGAGTTTTTGCTTGAAAAGAAACATTTGTGATTCCACAGACTAATATAAAAGAGTTATTTGCCGTTAAATTCTTTTCTTAGGAAGGTATACTATGATTTTTTTCCCCAGAAAGGATTATTCTGTGACTTATGTAAGATTTAGTCATAAGAGACCCCTTTGATTAGGCTGGAAAGATCTATTGTCTGGCTCTATTGATGTCAGTAGGCATCATATTGTCTGCAAACTCTCCTAAGATCTGCCAACCCTTGTCTTACTTGACCTCTAAATATCCTTGAACACTTTGACCTCCCCCATCCTTTTGAAAGGCTCTCCTCCTCTGGTGTTCTCAGGACCACATGGGGCAGCTCTCCTCTGGCCCACCTGCCCCACCTCCACAGCAGTGACCTCTACACAGCCATTATTTATTGGAGTTCCTCAAGGCTCAGGCCTGGGGCCTCTGCTCCCCTTCATCTGTACACTCTCCCTGGGTGCTTCTATTCACACCCATGTGATCAGTCATGTGCTAGTAACTTCCAAGGTTCTTCCAAGTCCATTTGTTCATCTGTCCACCTGACATTATTACAAGGTGTTTTGAAGGCACCTCAACCCAAAATACTCATCATCTTCTCCCTCAGACATGGAAACATTTTGGCATCACTCCCACCATCTATCTGATTCCATAGCCAAACATCTAGGAGTCTTCTTGACACCTTCTCTTCCTCATACCCCTATCTATAGTCCATAAATTCTGTTGATTTTGATTTCCTAAATATCTCAGTTCTCCTCTCCAATTCCACCATCATTACCCTAGTTCAGACTACTCTTATCTGCCCCAAATAATCATAAAAACTTCCCAAACTTTCCACATATATTCTCATTCCTCTTTCATTTTTTTCATATTAAGCCAGAATGATTTTCTCAAAATGCATATCTGATGATGTGATTCCCCTTCCCACACTCTACTTAAAATTCTTACTGGCCTCACTTGGCCCAGTGCCTACATGGTTTTCTACATGGTATGGTTTCTGCCCACTTTGTCATATCTCACTCTCCTCTCCTCTTTATACTCTGCTTCAAGCCACAGAATTCTTTCCAGTTCCTCAAAATGTACCTGTTGTCACCCTTACCCCAACTCATCACTTCCTCAGGGAAACCTTCTCTGAATGCCCTGAGTTTCCTCAATTCCCAAGTCTTCCTACGATGAGCTCCTATAACATTGTACATCTATACTTAATAGCATTCATCACTGTTCTTAAATATACAGTTATTGGAGTAATTATTTAATTAGTGTCTAGCTTTCCTGGTAGACTAGTGCCTCTATGAGGGTAAAAACTGTGTCATTATATTCATCATTTGATCACCATACCTTATATTGGGCTGGCTCATGGTAAATATTTAATACATTTTCAAAGAAGGAATAAAGGGATAAAATGAATTTTGGGCCTCCAACCAGTTATGTTATTTTTCATCTAACTCCAGAACATAGGTTGGCTACTGTGGCTAGAGAGGCAAATCCAGCTTTCATCTGATTTTGTAAACAGTTTTATTGGAACTCAGCCACACTCATTGGTTTACATATTGTCTGTGGCCCTTTCTCACGACAGAGGAAGAGATAAGTAGGTGCATCGGAGACACTGTGGCCCCCAAATATGTACAGTCTGACACTTTACAGAATATTTGCCAACTCCTACTCTACAATCCTAGTGAGCCAGAACTAAAAAGGGGGTGCAGGGGTTCTAAAAATGGAAACAATACTACCCAAGCTAATCTATGCTTCTTTTGTTAGGTGTTTGAAATGATTGTTAATCCCGGAGATAATATTCTCCTAAATGAACCTGTTTATTCAGGAACACTTCATGCTGTGAGTATCCATTTCTACAAAAGGCAGCTCTCTTTCTTATAATAAATAAGAAGAAACCATTGCACCTTTAGAATTATCTGTTCACTGAAAAATAAAATAGTGTCGTTCACCTGTTAACAGGAGAATCTTAAACGATATGTGCAAACTGTGTTAAATATACCCTCTGTTTTTTTTTAAATATGTCTTTATTGATTTTAGAGAGAGAAAAAGGGAGAGAGAGAGAAACATCAATGAGGAGAGAGTCATTGATGGGCTGCCTTCTGCACGCCCCTGACTGGGGATCAAGCCCGCAACTCGGGCATGTGCCCTGACCAGGAATTGAACACACATCTCCTGGATCATAGGTCAGTGCTCAACCACTAAGCCACACTGGCTGAGCTATACCCTCTACTTTATAAATTTCTTTTTACCAAATTTAAATGAATGGGTGTGAAAATTAGGTTATGCAAAATGATGTCCAGTTTCCTTAATATTTCACTTGAAATGTGACTTAGTTAACAAAAACTTATTTTTCATTACAATCTTTAATTACCATATGCCTAAGTATAATCATGTTATATGTCAATTTACTATAACTGTAAACTAATATGGTATAATTAGGACTTTCCACTCCAATGTTAAATTAATAGGACTATAATGACCAGAAAGAGGAAGCTGATCATCTGGCTCTGCTGTGCACTGGTCAGAACACACTGCTGAGAACTAGGCTTGTTTGGGGCACAATACTTTAGGATAGATATGTACACAAACTAGAGCAGCAGTTTCCAGGAAACTGGAAACCATACCGTATGATGAATGGTTTCAGGAGCTGTGGCTCTTTTTCCTGCAAAGCAGAAGACTGAACAAACATGAAAACTGTCCTCAAATACATAAAAGTTAACCATGGGACAGAGGAATTAGATTTATTGTGCCTGTCCTTAGGTTGAGAGAACTGGAACTCAAGGCTGGAAACTACAGGGACACAATTTCAACTCAGTATAACAACTTTCTGACCATCAGCCTTACCTGACTCCCTAAGCCTCACCTGACAGCCGAACCTGACTGCCTATCACTGCAGGTGCTCAGTTATTCTTGATTGCCAGCAAACACAAATTTCGCAAAAGTAATTCTACCCTAAAGTAGGGGAGTTGAATGAGATGATCTTTATACTCTCTTGATTCTAATTTCATCTATTCTCCTTTTTATTCTAATTTAATATTGTCTTTACAAAAATCAACATATAAAGCAATTAGCTGGTCTTAATGAAAGGAATATTTTCTCAACATTCCTAAATAGAGATAAAATTGATATTATAAAAATTTCTTTTTTCCAAAGAACAATCTGAAAAGAAAATTAAAAAACAATTTTCATTTATAATAACATCTAAGAGCATAAAAGACATCACCTATTCATGGATTGGAAGACTTAATATTGTTAAGGTGTTAATTCTGCCAAAGCGATCTACAGATTCAATGCAATCTCTATCTAATAGATAGGCTAATAGCCTTTTTGTAGATATAGAAAAAGCCAATCCTCAAATCACATGGGATTGGAAGGGGCCCTAACAATCATAAGAATTCTAAAAAGAAGAACTTAGTTGGAGGCTTCACACTTCCCCATTTCAAAACTGACTGCAAAGCTACAGTAATCAAGACAGTGTTAACAACAAAATCATTCAATAGGAAAAGAACAGTTTCTTCAACAAATCATGATGGGACAACTGGATTTCCACATGAAAAGGAAAGAAATTAGACCCCTACCTCACACCATATAAAATTTTAACTCATAATACATCAAAGACGTAAGTGTAATAGCTAAAACTATAAACTCTTTGAAGAAAACATAGGGGCAAATCTTGTCTGTGGATTTGGCACTAAATTCTTAGATATGACAATAAAAACACAAGCAGCAACAACAACAATAAATAGATAATTGGACTTCATAAAGAATTAAAATTCTTAACCATCAAAGGACATTGTAGCCCGGCCAGATGTGGCTCAGCGGTTGAGCATCGACCTAGGATCCAGGCGATCGGGGTTCGATTCCTAGTCAGGGCACATGCCCGGGTTGTGGGCTCAATCAGTGACTTTCTCATCATTGATGTTTCTATCTCTCTCCCTCCCTCTCCTTTCCCCTCTCTGAAATCAATAAATATATATTTAAAAAAAAAAAAAGGACATTGTGAATAAAGTGAAAAGACAGCCTAAAGAATGGGAGAAAATATTTGCAAATCATATATCTGATACGGGCATAATATCCAGAATATATAAAGACCTCCTATAACTTAACAACAAAAGACAGACAAATTTAAAAATAGACAAAAGACTTGAATAGACATTTCTCCAGAGAAGATATACAAATGGCCAAGAAGCTCGTGAAAAGATACTCGACATCATTAGTCATTAGAGAAATGAAAACTGCAGGGAGACACTACTTCACACCTACTAGGATGGCAATTTTTTTCAATGGAACATAGCAAATATTGGTGAATATGTGGAAAAATTGGAACCCTTTTACATTGTTAGTGAAATTGTAAAACGGTGCAGCCACTGTGGGAAACAATTTTTCAGTTCCTCAAAATGTTTAACATAGAATTACCACGTGATTCACCAATTCCACTCCTAGTATATACCCCAAAAGAAATGAAAACTGAGACCCAAACAGAAACATAGATGTTCACTATGGCATTATTCACAGTAGCCAAAAGGTGGGAGCAACCTGAGTATACATCAATGGGTGAATAAAAAACAATGTAGTATGTACATACAGTGGAATATTATTCAGCTATAAAAGGAGTGAAGTTCTGACACGTGCTACAACATGGAAAAACCTTGAAAACATTATGCCAACTGAAAGAAGCCAGACACAAAGGACAAATATTGTATGAAATATCTAGACTAGGTAAATTCATCGAGAGAGAGTAGGCGAGAAGTAACCAGGGCCTGGGGGAGGGGAGAATAGAGAGTTATTGCTTAATGGGTACAGAGTTCTATTTGGGGTGATGAAAAGCCTTTGGAAATTGGTAGTGATGATGGGTGCACATATTGTGAATGTAATTAATGCCACTGAATTATGCACTTTAAAATAGCCACATTTTTATTTTATAGACTTTCCTACAGTTGAAAAAACTAAAGTAAAATAATTGCTTTTTCCTAATGATTTGACACTGGTTATTATTTTCCTAAACTCCTAACACTTAAGACTACATAATGCCTACAAATATATAACTTGTGTCTAAATGAACAGCATGAGTGCATGCATGCAAAACATTTTCACACACCCAGATAGAAACCATGTGCCAAGCTATGAGAAAATATGCTAATAAGCAATATGTGTTTATTTCATGGCCCAACAGTGATTTGTTTTATTCATGGTATGTGTGCAGTTTAAGGCTAAGACCTTTTATTTTATTTTTTATTACATTTATTTGGGTGACATTATACAAGTTTCAAGTGTACAATTCCGTAATGCACCATCTGTAAATTGCATTGTGTGCTCACCACCCAAAGTCTAGTCTCTGTCCATCAAAGACCATTTAAAATTTGTCATAAGTTAGGGTTTGGATTGTCCCCACTTAGTACATAATTCTACAATTGCCTGCTAAAAACAGTGTTAGCTTATCTTTTGAAAAATTCTTTCTGAAAACTTCACTCAAATATTGTTATTTCTTAATTTCTGACTTTTTAAATGTTTTCATCCGTGAATAGGACTCCACAGATTTTTATAAAATCATGTCTATAAGCAAGGCCACTACTTGCCAGTTCAGCCTTAGCCATTGGTAAAATATTGAAATGCTTCCACACTCCTTGGTAAGCTGCTGCCCTGAACCCCTCAGTACCCCATCACACCCGGGTTTTCTTGGCCCCTCTCCTAAGATCACCCACCCTGAACCTCCCATGATACAGAATTAATGCTGGCATGGCAGGAAGCCTCCAGGACCCCCTTCCAGCCTATAGATGTATCTGACGTACCCATTGCTACACAACTTGTTAAATATTTTGAATATCACTTCTACTTATACCTGTTTTATGTATTAGCATAATAGATGCTTTACAGAATTAATTTATTCTGCAAAAAAAAATTATTAATAAACACCTAATTTATGAACCGGTTCTAAATATACATATAATGATAATTCCATCACAAGAGGCTAGGTTGTGCTGTATACCAAATGACCCCAATATCTTGGTCACTTCAGCTACAAAGACTTACTTCTCTCTCATACTACATGTCCACTGCAAGGCAACTGTAGCTGTGGTCATGTCATCTTTATCTCCAGCCCCAAGTTGACAGAAGCAGTCTCTTTTGGGAACATCGTGAGTCTTGGGAAAAGAGAAAGAACCACAAGCTGGATTTTGAAGCTTCTGCTTGAATGAAACATCACTTATGCCCACGATTTATTGGCCAGAGAAAGACACATGGCCAAGCCTGACATACATGAGCAAGGAAGTAGAATCCTTCCCCTGGAAACTGATGGGATATTCTTGAATGGTAATGGAATCTGCCCCAGGGCAACAAAAAAATTAGAATATACAACCTAAACCCTCTGGAGGTAGAGCTGACTGCAGGTTATATGTTTAAGGGTATAGAGGGTAACATTCTCGGTTCATGTAAAAAGAATCAATGACACATTTTGTAATCAGGTCTGAATCTTGGGCTTTCTTTTTCCTTCGTGCTCAACAGCTGCAACCACTGGGCGCCAACATGATAAATGTTTCCAGTGATGAATATGGGATGATTCCAGACTCCCTCAAAGAAATACTTTCGCAATGGAAACCAGAAGATTCAAAGAACCCCAAGAAAAACACCCCCAAATTTCTTTATACAGTCCCAAATGGCGACAACCCTACTGGAAAGTCATTAACAAGTAACCGCAAAAAGGAAATCTATGAGGTATTTTAAAATAATGTGTTACGTGGCTATGTTCCTGTTTCTTTTTTACCTTTTAGAAGAGTACTATGAAAGTTTCCTTTCTTATTAGCCTCTTGCTTTCCAAGAAGGTAATTTTTAAAAAGAGGAAATCATCTATGCCAAGGGTCCTAATAAATTTGAACACAAGAAATTACTACATCCTTTGTTAACTATAAGATTTTTCCTTCCTTTTAACTGATATTTTCATAAAAAGAAATAGCATTCTTGGCCTGATGTTAAATTATATGAGGTTTTTTTTTATATTTGACCCCAATAACTGATTTTCATTATTTTATATTTGTATTTTCAACTTGTCTCTTTTCTTTCTTACTCGTTATCATTTCAGTTTACAAAGAAATTCTTTGATGCCTAAGCATTTCACCATAAACATTTTTTTAAAGTCTGAAACAAATATGGAGCTATGCAGAAATCTTTGAAAAATAAGAGAAACATGCCTTTTTGTTAAGTCTTTTTTATGTACCTGATTGTGGTCCCTAGCCTTTCACTATGAGTAATTTTTCAAAATAAGTACCAAGCCTACGTTAAAATAGTATAGAATTTAATCACTGCAGTGGAATCATAAGATTTTGAACAGTTCCTTTTACCATACATACACACACACACACATATATAATCAAAATATTGCCATCTTCTTATTTTTCACACACTCCTGGCTCTGCCCCTCATCCAGCTCTATGCCTGTAAATTGCATTCTGTAATGGAGATGCCTGAACTCCAGGCTTCTCTATCCAACTTCTGTATCCAGCATCCAACGTGAATGTCTAATAGGCATTTCAAACCTAACATGCCACACAGAACTCTTGATGTTGTCCAGCCACACCCCAAACCTCTCATCCACGACCCCTCCCGTTCTTCATGTCCATGCATGTGCCAGCATGATCCATTACCTTTTATTCCTCTCTTTCCCTCTCCCCTCCCCGCACCCGCTGCATCCAACCCATTCTGTGGACTCTACCGACAAATTTGCCCAAGTCCGTCCATCCATTTTCCTGCACGACCACTGCTCTCACCATCTTCTCAACGCCACCTTCTTCCCTCACTGGTCTACTAGGACATTTCCTCACCGGACCCCTGCTGCCCTCCACTCTTGGCCTCTAACCATTGTTCACACAGCAGCCACTCAAGTCCTTACCCTGCTGAAATGTAAATGTAAAGCCAGCCTCACAGTCCTGTTTACAGTCCTCCAGTGGCTTCCCCTTGCAGTTAAAATAAAATCCAAAAGCTAGGCGACCTGGTCAGCTATTCTCAGCTCTTATCAACGTTGTTGCAGCCCACTGGCCCTCTCTCTAATGTGCCAAGTTTTTGTCTCACCAAGGGCCTCTACTCTTGCTCATCCCTCCTTCTACAAGCTTCTTCCCTGATATTTGCACAACTGGCTCCTTCCTGTCATTCTGAGATCTTGTGGTTCCCAGTGGTTCAACCTGAAATAGCTGCTCTGTTTTTCTTTCTCTAACATCACCCTGTTTAATGTTCTGCCTAGCCCTTAAGTCCCCCACCTAATATTTATTCTGTTCATTATCCATTGGCTTATGTATATTCTGTCTTTCCCACTAGAATGAAAGTTCCAAGAGAACAAGAGCCTTTAGAGCCTCATTTCTTTGTCTTCATTGTCTAGACAACAGGCATGCAATAGCTTCTTAAGTGAATGAGTACAAAGAATTAGGGTTCCAAATGCTTTTAATTTTAGATAGCTCATAAGAAATAAATGTACTGCTTCAACCTTTTTTTAGCTTGCAAGAAAATATGATTTCCTCATAATAGAAGATGATCCTTACTATTTTCTACAGTTCAACAAGGTAAGTGATGATATGAACTTATTTCACAATTAGAAGATAAATTATTGTAAGTTATTGCTCTGCATTTGATTTTAACCTGGCTGCTAATCCACTTTTACATTGGAATTTAAAAAATTATTGTTAATTTGCTACCACTTCAACTTTTAGTTTTATTATGGAATTAGTACTTTTCATTTCTAGAATTACACCTCTTTTCAGAAATTACTTAGCTTAAAAATAGTAACTGGCTCTCTGTACCATACATTTGGACAAACAGAGAAAGTCAGGGCTAATGGTCTTGAACTCTAGATCCTGGAGCATAGCTCCTTAATCATAGTACCAGGAATCTAAAGTGGATTTCCTCTTGGGCATCAAATATAGTCTGTTGGTAGTGGCTGACTGGCATGATGTCTGAGAAGGATTTGGAAGCTGTGTTCGAGCTGAAAGAGAAGGGCTGTGCTCAATGAGTGATGTTCATTATGGATGTAAGATAAGGTGTAACTGGCAGCAGGACATAGTTTCCATTCCTGTCGTGAAGGTCCTGGGTCGTACCTGCAGAAGAATGGGTTTTTAGATTCCTTCTCACAATATCTGTATACCACTTCTCACAATCACTTTTTCCTAATGGACAGTAGTAGTGATGCATGCTCCCAGTGCCTGATTTTTTCAAAATCAAACACTAACTGTATTTGTTCTCAGGGCAGCAGAGAACACATACTTGGATTTGGTTCCTTCTTTAAATCTACAGAAAAGAAAAACTCTTGACTTTCCTGTATGTATTCCCTGATTGAATATCATGTCTGCCTACCTACATCCTACTCTCAACATGACCATGGCCTTTTCTTGTATGCATCTACTTCTTAAGTAAATACTGAAGTCAGTATTTCACATTGACTACATTTTTCACCTTCAGTCTTACCTTCTTTTCTTTCTAGTTTACTTCTAAGAGGCAGCATTTTCTCCATACACAATCCTGGATGCTGCTGGCCCCCTTTGCTTATATCTTACCCAAACTAGTTTTTCTTTCTTTTTCTCTTTCTGTCTTTTATTTTTCTTATTTAGATGCATTTCATTCAACAATCAGGCCAGCCGGGCATCATGGTGACCATATAGGATTTCAGAACCTTGGTTCTCAGCAAGGCCCATGCATTTTCCTTCCTCTAAATCTGTTCATCTCGGACTTTAACTCTTGGGGCAAGGAGGGGCCTAAATTCATAATAATGTCATCTTGAACAAATGAGTAAACCCTTGTGTGTGTTTTCGGCAGAAAAGTCATGAGGACAAGCAGATACTAATAAAAGAACGTGCATCTCTGTTTTTACTCCATTTTAAAAGGTTGGGATAAAGGTAGTGGAAAAGAGGTTGTGTTACTGTTATCCAAATACATGGCCTTTCCAGTCTCTATGTGAAGTAATTACATAGTCACTTACAGAGTTCTCAGACCAACAGTATTTATCTTTTCCATTCCAAGCCCTGGGCACCAACATTTCTTTCCATGGATACTGATGGGCGTGTCATCAGAGCTGACTCTTTTTCAAAAGTCCTGTCCTCTGGGTAAGGCCCTGTGTCTCTAACTTAAGTTGGATATAACTGAGATAGAAACTGTGCCTCAGTAGCTTTCAGTCCAGGCAATTATTTTCATTTAAGATGCTTATATTCTACTTATCTTAAAACACCAGTTAAACTACTAATATGAATATAGGCCTTTTCTCTCTGTTCATCTCCAGTTGTCAAAGGAACCTGGGCATTAATCTAAAGTTGTAGAGGAAGTGATGAAGTTTGGGGTTTCCTATATGAAAGCACACATTGAGAAATACTTGGTCAGACTTTCATTATATTTTAAATGTACACTTAAATTTAAATTTGAATTTTAAATAAGAATTAGTTTTATTAGAATGTTTTAATTGCCTAGATCCATTTGCCCCCAAGTCACAGTTCTCATCCTAATGAAATTGGGAAAATGACATGGATTCATTGTTAATACGGGAGTGGTATTGTGCCTTTTCTCTTTTTTTGTGTAGGTTGAGAATAGGGTTTATAACTGGTCCAAAACCCTTGATAGAGAGAGTTGTTTTACACACACAAGTCTCAACATTGCAACCCAGCACTTTTACACAGGTAAGGACAATTTAGGAAATAGATAAAAATTTTAATTAGGTAAGAATAGAAAATAGATGTTGGTAAATAAGATTGAGTTAAGGTGGCAGGAAGGGAAATCATTGATATTGAATCTCTAGTTCCAATATGTACTCAATTAGCAAACCTGGTACTGCAGATGTTGATTCTAACAGACAAATGAGAATTGAATTAACTTGGTGTTATTTTGTGGCATAGACTAAACTTGCGAGTCAGGCTGTCTTATTGTTCTGATGCCTCTAGCATCTAGCCCAGGAACTCCATAGAAACTGTTGAAAATAACGGAACTGAGCTTGATGAAATAATGTAACTTGGGCTTCTTTGTCTTAAAATCTAAAATGAGAACAAGAATTGGAAAGCTGTCTAGTGACTTATTGCCTCCACTGAACATGTGTTAACCTGTCCTAAAGACACTGGTTGGTATGTAGTTTAATTAAAATAAAGTTAATTTTAGAGAATGTATAAACTTTCTCACAAGCTGTGAGAAATTATTGGATCCATCCCTAATGCAACCATGAGAATTAGGTCTTAAGGATAGAATTGCTACCTAAGAACTCAAAATGCATAGAAAAGTTTATGTAGAGTAGGACTTTTGTTTGATATTGTACATCCCATAAAGTGCTTTATCAAGTTGGGGACTCTTTTCTTCTTATCTGTTATCAACAAAACTTCACTATCCATTTATGACATTTAGAACTTACATTTTAGATAGAAAATCTCCAAATATAGTATATAACTTTATATATTACAACCACTATTTTTTTTATATTTAAAGAGGAAGTACAGTATAGTAATTGATGGCATGGACCAGGAGCCGGACAGTCTGATCTGAATCCAGGCTTAACCCTTGTGCCTCATTTTTCTCATCAGTAAAATAGAAATAATAAGCCGCCTAAATAAGATTATTACAAGATTAAATTAGCTAACATATATTAATATATTACAGTAGTTTCTGGTACATAGCAATTACTATATAAATATTTGTCATTTTATTAGCATTGTCATTGTTATTCATTAACATTTATTCTAAATCACTGACCGTATAAAGCTTGGTTCAGCTTGCTGTATTTTGTTATGGTGGTTTACGTGTACTCGGGAGTGACTGGCAGAAAACACATTTCAGGTGATGAACCATGACGTTTGTTATTGTCTTACCTCCTGTAGCTCATGGTATCAGAGCTTCTTCACCAATGGGGAGAAGAGGGCTTCCTGGCTCACACAGAGAGGTATTGTATTTCAGGTCCCATGTGTTACATGGAATTTGGCTCCGCTTTATAACTTTCCATTTTTAATTATTCCACGGTAAAGGAAAAACATAATGGTAAAAACTTTACCACCAGGCAGGTTAAATAAATATGCTCTGTTCCCTTATCAATCATTCATTTAATCAAGATAGAAAACAGATTCTTACAGAGCCTCTCAGTTTCTACAGTCAATGCACGAAACATCCTTTTCATTGTTTCCTTCTTCTAGGGTCATTGATTACTATCGGAAGCAGAAGGATGCGTTACTGGCAGCTGCAGACAAGTGGCTAAGTGGTGAGTGGAATGTAGACCCCGTCCTGTGATGAACAGTAGCGCCTGTATGAGTGGGTGATAAACACTGCATGGTATTATTAATAATCCCGGGAGAAAAGAAACAAGAGTCCAGGGGTATTCTTGTCACGAAAATATTTCCCATGCCGGCCGGTTTGGCTCAGTGGTTAGAGCGTTGGCCTGTGGACTGAAGGGTCCTGGGTTCAATTCTGACCAAGGGCACATACCTCAGTTGCAGGCTTGATCTCTGGCCCTGGTCAGGGTACATACAGGAGGCAACCAATCCATGTGTCTCTCTCACATCGATGTTTCTCTTTCTCTCCCTTCCATTGTCTCTGAAAAGCAATGAAAAAAATATCCTCAGGTTAGGATTAAAAAAAATATTTTTTTAAATGTTTCCCTATAATAATCTCAGAAGTAACAGTCTGCAAACCCTGGCCCATTTTCTACCTATCTCTATTTTGCCTGTCTGCTGCAAAGACTTTGTGGTTCAAAAAAAAGACCAATTAGTCTTATAATCAACCAGCAACAAGTTACTTAAAGCTAAATAACATCTATGCTCAAAAGTTTTTAGAGTTATTTGAAAATTTTCCTCTACATGGAAGAGGAATTGTGAAACAAACAACATACTCCTTTTCTAACTGGATTATATAAAGACAAAATACTAGTACAATCCATGGAGGTGTTCTCATTACAAATGATTTGCCTTTTAATCACTAGCCTCGTTTATCTGTTCTAATACTCTCTGTTGCTAATTTGATTGCAGGATGGTTTAGGTTTAATTTTCTATTAAAAATAAGAAGGTAAAATGAATTACATGGCTTTAATTATATCATTAAAAATGCCTTTGATGTGAATAATAGTAAGCAAAATGTATCAGTTCCTTAATACTGTCATACCTTGTTTCCTAGGAAATCTTGCTAAAAATAGAATTATTTGTTTGATAAATAGTACTAGTCTACCATTTTGTGCCGTGGAGCTTAAGAAAAGGTTTTAATCAACAGCAACAAAAAGATAATAATTAAAATCAAAATAATTATCCTTCCTTCTTGGTTTCTCTCTCCTGGTGCTCAGTGAAACATAAAGCCTACAAATGCACCTAGAATTCCTGATTTTAAGTACTTCTTTTCATAATTAATTACATTCCAATAAACCTTTAATCCATTGGATCTCTAAACTATCACATAAATGATAGGATTTACTGAAGCCCTAGAAGAATCTAGAAAGAGTTGAAGACTCCTTTTCTAAAACTGAAAGAGTCATATTTAGGTCAGGTATGGTTCTAACTAAAGGAAGTAGACATAGGCACTCGATTTCTTGCACCCCACTCAGACTGGCTAAAATTGTAAATATGCACACACTAGTCTCCTTCCTCACCTTCACCTGCTCTCTCACTCACTTTTTTAAAAATTTGTCTTATTCATTTGAGAGAGAGAGAGACATGGATTTGTTGTTCCTCTTACTTAGTCATTCACTGGTTGATTTTTGGGTGTGCCCTGACCTGGGACCCAACCAGCAACCCCGGAGCATGGGGACGACGCTCTAACCAACTGAGCTACCTGACCGGGGCTCGCTCACTCTTTTGAAATAACACTCAGAACATCAATTTTCAGGACTTATTAAATTATATATTTTTTAAATGCTATCACTGAAGGAACTTTTATGGAAATACTAGTTGGCAGTAACGGCAATTATGTCATTAAATGATATGTGTGATATCAAATATAGCTGCAGGGGATATTTATTCCCTTCTTTTATTTATAGGTCTGGCGGAATGGCATGCTCCTACTGCTGGAATGTTTGTGTGGATTAAAATTAAGGGCATTAATGATGTAAAAAAACTGATTGAAGAAAAAGCCATTAAGAAAGAGGTAAAAAGGCGGGGAAAGTTATACTTTTTCTTTAACGTAATTTCTTATTTGAATAACAACTCATAATATGTTATCTCATTATTAAAATCAATAGATTTTTGGGGGGTTACATAATTATTCTTCTGGTTTAAATTAGTGGAAATACAGTCATTCATCTCAGCTACGGGTTGGTTTAGTGGCTAAGAGCACAGTTCCAGGAGCCACACTCCTTGGGTTTGAATTCCAGCTTCACCCTTTACTGGATGTGTGGCTTGGGAAAAGTTACCCTCCCTGAGTTTTATCTATAAAATAGTAATAATGAGACTTTCTCCCTCATAAGGTTGTTATGATAATTGAGTTAATAAGTATAAAGCACTTAGACTAGTAAATGCTCAATAGGTATTAGCCATTAGTATTTAAAATGGAGGGGTTTTTCCCCGATTATGAAAGTAAAGCATATTCATGGTAGTGAACTTAGAAAATGAGCAAAAGTATAATGAAAAAATTTTAAATAGCCCATAATTTCACCACCTAGATTTTATCAGTATTTGTGCTGTATTTCCTTGAAGAGCTTGTATATAGCTGGTATTTTGGCTGTGCAGTTACTTTACATGGTTAAAATTACACAGAAAAGTTTCTGTCCTGCTGTTTTTACTTCACATTAGCCCGTGATGATTTCTTGTGTTTTTTTATTCTCCTTTTGTACTTAAATCATAGGTATATTTAGATTTCATTCAGGGGCATTGATTAAGCTCAGAAATACAAATACTTTTCTGTGTAGCTTTCCAATTTACCAAATAAATTATCCTTTCTCCATTAATTAATTCCCTTCTCATGGTTGTCATTCTTTTGTAAACACTAAGATCTATTTCTAGTATCAATTTTGTCTTGAAGCAATAGAATAGATTGTACAAAAAATCAGATTGGTGTTGACAGAGTACCTTGCTAGTGCATAAGAGGTGAAGCAGTCTAAAGATTAGGCCTGGGACTGTAACTGGCTGGCCTTCAGGACTAGCTCTACTCCCTTGGGAAACTCATTCATCCTCTCTAATCTTACTGGAGGCCAGGATTCATGTTTTATTAATTGTTCTAATCCTAGTAACAGCACACAGTAGATACTCAATAAATACTTAACTGGTTTATTTCAAAGAAATACATTTTAGTATAACATATCAATTTTATATTTTCTTTGCTTACATATCAATGCCATTATCTTTAAGAACATTTGATAAGCGGCTATTTGTATGTATCTCCGAGCTACGTGCTAAGACTACAGACTTCATATTTTATTGTAGTTTTTTTTTTCAGTCCTCTTCATTTATTCCATATATCCTGTTGCATGTACTTTTACTTTTTCTAAAAAATCCCCAACTTTCCCAGCCAGTGTTGCTCAGAGGTTAAGCATCGACCTATTATCCAGGAGATTACAGTTCAATTCCTGATCAGGGACATGCCTGGGTTGCGGGCTCGATCCCCAGTGGAGGGTATGCAGGAGGCAGCCAATCAATAACTCTCTCATCATTGACATTTCTATCTCTCTCTTTCTCCCTCTCCCTTCCTTTTTCTGAAATTAACAAAGATATATTTAAAAATTAAAAATAAAAATCTCCAACTTTATTACCCCTGCCTTAGTCCAGACTCTAGTCATCTTGCAAAGAGATTTTTTAACACTCCCTCTTTCTCTTACAGCAACTTGTTTCTAGCACATCCCAAAACTTTTCTGCTATATTGAGAAAAATGATTTTAATTTTATTGTTATTAAGGACACAAAAACCTATCTTCTGCCTTGAAATCTTTTCCCCAGAGTGCCTCAAATCATTTCACTCCCTACTCATCTTACCTTAGCAGACAGCGCCCAGATTTATACCATGTGACAACAAGCAGTTACTTAATGCTTTTGAATGTCATGATTGTACTACATAACCAACTTGAAGATTTAACACAATTGAAGTTTATTTCTGACTCACATGAAATTTTCAATTAAGTGATCTTCAGGCAGCTGTGCTCCAAGCAGTGATTTAGACCCTAGTTCCTTCCATCTCCTTGCTCTTCGGTCTTCAACACATAGATTCCACATGGCTATAAAATGGAAAGAGCATGGTGGATCACACAGGGGAAGAATTTTATGGGTCAGGCCTAGAAGTAGCACACGATTTCACATCCATTGGCCATCTGTGCACATATAATTAGAAAGAGGCTGGGGAATAGAATATATTTGTATGCCCAGGAGGCAGAGGAAATGTACTTTGCCACAGTGAGCTATCTGCCACAGTAGTCATCAAGAATCACAGTGGTTCTCACCACTGTGTCTTGACACACTTACTCAACATTGTTTTATGTATTAAATTTTTACCTCCTTTCAGTTCTTTGAGGGGGGCAATATTCTTCACATCTCAGGGCCCTTATACTCTGTTATCTTCTCCCTAAAATATTCTTCCCCTACTTTTTGCTTGGCCAATACCTACCTGTCTTTCAGATCCCAGACTAAAAGTTACTTCCAAATTAGATAACTTAATAATCTTATCTCATTGTTTGAACTTACATTACCTTTCCAGTTAGGTTAAACATTTATTCATGTTTATTACCATATCTATTTCTTTTGTAAGCTACTCTTTGCCCATTAAAGCTAGAATTCTAGTGTTTTTCTTCTCAGTTTCTGTGCAATCTTTATATGTAGAGAAGAGGTCTCATTTGCCATATTTATTGTAAACATTTTTCCAGTTTCTCTGCTTTTAGTTGTTTATTGTGTGATATACAGAATTTTTATATAAATTTATTTTTCCCGTGTGATTTGTTCTTAATTTTAATTTTAAATTGCCTTTAATTTTAAAAGCCCTTCCCCATTCTGAGATTTGATTTACCTGTATTTTCTTTCAGTTTTTCTTTAATGGTATGTCCCTTATTTTCTATAAACTCTTAGGTATTAATGGTTCCTGGAAGTGCTTTCTACATTGACAGCTCAGCTCCTAGCCCTTACTTTAGAGCATCCTTCTCTTTGGCTTCTCCAGAACAAATGGATGTGGTAAGTACAGTATTTTCTTTGGAGTAACACTAGATATCAGTTCTGTTTTTTGTTAGATATGTTCATTTTGTGAGTTACAGTATACTTTAAAGTCTTCTTGTGTTTCTGAAAAACAGGTATTAGTTGAAGAGTCATAAACTACCATTAAAAAATACATTTTACCTGGTTGTTAGACTTCTATAGACAAAGGAAGAGACTGGGTTGTAGTTTAATTTTATTGTTTTCAAGGATAGTTTTTAGACCTACTAAACAGTGTTTGCCGATTACTAATACGTTATGAAGAAAATCTCTTTCCTTCCTTCATAGAATTAACATGAGCCAAAAGTACAAATTGAAGTCAGTAGTCTCTTTCATTGAGGAAAAATTTATCAGCAAGTCAAAGAGAATAATATTCTCAAATTAATCACAAAGTCTAGCTTTACCCAAAATAACAAGAAGCAAAGAAACAAGTTCCTAAGAACTGTGTGTCTGGGAATCCAAACAAGACCCATAAATTGCACGGTGCCATTAACCTTAAGATGAGTTTATGCTTATCTTTGGAAATGGATTGGTTCTATGTGTGTTCTTTATTTGCTTGCTTTCTCACATCATTAAATGTGCTTTTAATAAGTTATTTTTGTTTTCATATAATAGAGTTGGACAATTTAAACTATATAGAATGTATATGCAGATAAGAGATTATATGAAAAAATAACATAATATGTGGTATGGAGAAAATAGAAAATGATGGCCTAGAGGGCTATAAGAACAACAGAAAAATCCTGGGACTCTAATATGCTTATATCTACATATATTGTGACATTGATGGGATCCTACCATGATAAAACTGATGTTAAACTTGGTTTTTCATTGCCTTATCTCAAGCTTAGATGGATACTCATTGTTTGAATTTTTAAACTTCTGACAAACTTTTCCTAAATAGCATCCTAATTTCATTAATTCTTATCTATTTTCTATTTTAGGCCTTCCAGAGATTAGCCCAACTTATAAAAGAATCTTTATGAAGACATCAAACTCTTCATAGTACTCATGGGTTTTTTAGATAAATTATTTCTATGTTTTAGCAGCAAAAAATGATCATTGGTTTAGACATACATCAAACATGTCATATCTTTAGAAATTTAACTAGACAACTTTTCAAGTGCCTTTAAATCCACCAAATTGCCAAAATATATTTATAATCCACTTATACCTTTTGATAAATTTTCAACCTGCAAAAAAATTATTTTTACCGTGAATTTGTTGTAAAGAACTCTGTAACTGCTTTATAATTTCCTGTAAATTTTCATTGAAACTAATTTTTACAGTAAATTATTTTGAAAATGTAAGAAAATAAGTCCAAAATGGTCTGTAATATAAACTTTTTCTACTTTTTAGGAAAATGTAATAAAATCTTGTTGCAAAAATTGTTAGAATTTGACCATTATAAAATGATTTCAGTAAGACTACCACAGATACTATGTTATGCCATAAAAACCCCTTTAAAATAAAAGTCTGAAGCTAAACATACCTAAAGGCATCAGACCTATTAATTCTAAGTAAGAAGGAGAGATTGGGAATTAGATTTACTGCCTTGCCTTTTCGTAATACTACACAACTTACATTTCCCAGAATCTCCTGCTCCACTGAAGTCATCCAGTGAGAGGCCTGAGACTGGAGTCCCTGTCCTCTGGGAGTTGTTAAAGCCAGAAGGAGTTCCAAGTGGCTTCTGAGGGAGCTCTTTGAAAATTGCCCACATCAGGGATAGTTGGTGGGTGCATGTTATTCCAGCAGCTTCACAGCCTTATGCTGCAGCCTGAGAGTTGGTGGAGGATCCTGCAGTGGCTTCCTGCATGTGCTTACTGCCAGCTGAAACAGAAGTGATAATTTTTTTTTAATTTTTATTGAATTTATTGGGGTAACATTGGATAATAAAATTATATAGGGTTCAGCTGTACAACCTATAATAGATGGTATTGTGTGCTCACCACCCAAAATCAAGTCTCCTTCCATCACCACTTATCCCCCCTTTACCCTCTCCTACCTGCCCCCACCCCCTTTTTCTCTAGTAATCACCATACTGTCGTCTGTGTCTGAGCCTTTGACAATTCTTTTGCCTGTTCCTCCCCAGGCCTTCTCGCCATTGTTTAAACTTCCAGTCCCCTGTATTCAAACCCTTCATACTCAGATGCATAGCACATCTTCTGGTTTCCTGACTTATAAAATATCCAAATGGAGATGTGAGTGGGCAGTTGAAATGTCCATCTGGAGTTTGGGAGAGAGGTCAGAGCTGGAGATGAGATTTGTGAGTCATCAGCAAATATGGATGTTTAAACCTTGAGCTTGAATGATCACCAAAGGTAGACAGAAGTTCAAGAACTGAGCCTGGAGCAAACCAACATGGACAGTCCAGTGCAGAAAAGGAGAGACCAAGTCAGCTGAGGAGGAACCAATGAGGCAGAAAGAGCCAGGCCAGTGTGGTGCTCAGGAGAGAGTGACAAACTATGCCAAGTGCTGCCGAGGGCTGAGAATTGGCCCATTGGATCATGCAAAGTGGAGGTCATTGGTACGAAAGCAGTTTTGTGAAGAAGAGGGGGTTTGAAAAGCTGATTGGAGTGGGTTTAAGAGGGAATGGGTGGAAAAGTATTGCACGCAGCTATGTGCAGTGCCAACAGCCTGTTGGTACATGTGGAAATGTGAACAAGCAATAGCTCTGGGTTGTGGGATTACAGGTGAGGTTTTACCTCCTATATCTTCTTATTAATTAGCTGAAATGAACATGCAGTCCTTCTATAATAAATAATAAAATTATTAGCAACATCCCTCTCTTAATGCGTCAACCACTGAGCTGTCCTGGCCTGAGGCTGACTCTGAGTTCCAAGGGGCTCAGGTCTTAAGAAATAAAAATAGAAAGTTTTGATGTATGAATCTCTGTTCCCAGACATTGCTCTGCCTTCCCAAGAACAACAATGATGCACACCCTGTCTGCTGTTCCCAAATTCAATTACTGAGCACTTTGAAATTAAATGGTGCCCTGACAATTTGAAAATTCTTTTCAATAATTAAAACAAATGTTTATAGAACACTTTGTATGTAGCAAGAACTTGCTAAATACCGCATTTAAAAAGATGACTCTGCATGCCAGACGCTTAATTTACACCGTGAACACCGTTTATTCAGGACTGCCAGGGACCCACCCAGCAGACAGAGCTGTCAGCTCTATTGCGGAAAGAGGGCAAATGCAAGAAATTTCAGGCACTTGAAACTTGCAAGACCTAAAAAGGTGCAAAAGAATAGCCAGGAAGGACATGTTGTTGGGGTTAAAACAGTTAAGAGATTTTCGTGAGCTGCTTCTGGAAGGGCTCGTCTCCTCATCTTGCATCCCAGCACCTCTCCCAGTAACTGTTAGCATTTATTGAACTAATTACCAAACTTGCTTTTCTTCACCGAAGTCATGATGATTATCCCCTCTTTCTAGCAAATACAAAGTTAGTTTTAATGAGCACACACTAATTAACAGAGGAGAAAAGCTAGAGAAGCTTCAAGTGCTCAGAGGACCCATGGGGGCATTTCTCACCAGCCTCCGGATGATTTCTGTCCTGTTGTGTTGATGAGCTAAATTTCTAGGCCCTGGGATTGCAAAGTCTGTCTGGCAAAGAAGGGGGTCTTCAAAGTACAAAAGGGAAGAAAACCAGGATAAAAAATGGATTAGACAATATAGATGAGATGAAAAGTCTTAGTCATATCTTGGTGAATCTTCTAACTAATGACAGATACATAAAGTCTTCTAAGACTAACAAATAACATTAATGAAGCTAAGTGCTGTTCATGCATCACCTAGTTTAATGCTCAGAACAACTGGAAGCAGCATTATTAGCCCTATTTTACAAATGAGGAAACTGAGGTTCTGAGCAATGGGTTACCACAGGGCTGTGCTTAGGGCCAGCCAGAGGAGTGGGAGAGAGCTGAGGCCTAGAAGGAGACACAGCAGCATTACCAGTATGTTTGTACAGTAGTGGTCAGAAAAAGAAGAGGCAGAGGAGTGTAATTCTGCAGGAGGTTTTTCAGCACTGAGCAACCTCTCACCTACAGATATGTTCTTGGCACACATTGCTCAAGAGAAAAAACCTACACTGAACTCAGACTCTATGGCAAAGATTCAGAAATATATAGCCATCGATTTGTTATTTATGGTCATGCAGAGGCAAGAATAAACATGGAAGGTTTGTAACAACCTAGGAAATCTCAAAAGTCTGTATGTAGGATTGCTTCAGACTGTATTACATTCCTATGCTCTAATGAAAAACGTCGTTTTTGAAATTAATATGAAGTAACAAATCTTAACCAGCAGGTGTCACAATTTCTTTAAAAGCTTGCAGGAAGGATTACAGTAAATTTTTTATTCTGAGTGATATCGTTACAAAAATCCAAATATATCTCATACTTAGCATAAATTGTGAAAACAATATTATTTAATAATATAATGGCCTGGAATTTCATGACTACTGCTGACTAAATCTGTTCATTTAATTAAATGCAGGAGTACAAGATAATACATTCGGGTATTGAGAGAAATCATCAAGACATTTCTGTACACTAGATATAAAGTACAATGTCTAAGCCATTCTAAGTAACAGTGGGTGGAAAGTAATATATTTAAATATTGATTTTCCCATTAAAATATTTAATAAATTTTGTGTTCTCATGTGAAATCTGTATAATTTTATATCACGTACTCCTGTTTCATTAATCCTTTAAAAATGTTTTCATTCATTCTAGAGAAATATTTAAATTAATTTTTAACTTTTTAGAATGGTTAATATGTGCTTTCAATTTTTACAATATTTTAAAGTATATTTTACATACTGTTCAAAATTAAAATGGCAAATCCCATTGGATAATCATGGTAAATTTATGCTTACTCTCAAAATAAGATAACACATTTTTGTTTATTGACCTTATTTATTATTAAGACAATCTCTGGCTTCACTATTTAACACAACAAGTTAACAAGCATGCCCTGCCCCAGTATGTAGGGCACTTAGAAGGAAAAGGGGTGGTTCCTATCTTCAAGGAGCACATAACCTTGTTATAGAGACAAGACCAATAGAGTCTGATGTCCCTGGGAACTTTCTAAATATCATTACACATACATCCCCAACAAAAGGCTTACATTATCAAAGTGGAAAATCGCAGCTAGTTTGACTTTTGGGTAAGGAATGGTTAGTTAGGCACTCATTAACTCAGCTACTCTTACCACCTCACCCCCCAGCCTGACTCCCAAATACCTTCACACATCTACTCTTCAAAATTCAGGTGATTAAAACTTGTCTCTCAGGAAAGTTTCCTGTGCCTAACTGTTGGAGTTCCTTTTAATAACAGAACCAGAAAATGTTCAATCCACCAAGGCCAGGAGTCTAATAAGTGCATGGAATAATAAAAACATAAGGTGACATGTACATCTCAGATGTCCATTAATAAAAATCAGGACACAGGATGGGCCACGTTGCTAAAGGCTTGTGGTGCAGGGTGCAGAGTTGGGCAGTCCGCTGGTGAGAAGAGCTAAGGAAGATTTCCCGACGGTGAGGAAGGAGAGGGGATGGTGGGGGAGATTCAGAGAACAAGAAAGAAAAGGAGACGGCCACATTTGCATTGGGAGAAAGACATGAAAAAACATAGAAAAACTTTTTTTTTTTAAATATACCTTTATTGATTTCAGAGAGAGGAAGGGAGAGGGAGAGAGAGAGAAACATCAGTGATGAGAGAGTCATTGACCGGCTGCCTCCTGCCTGCCTGTTGAAGGGGGATCAAGCCGGCAACCCGGGCATGTGCCCTGACAGGAATCGAACTCTGATCGCCTGGATCCTAGGTCGATGCTCAACTGCGGAGCCATGCCCAGCCAGGCGAAAAACTTTAATTATTATGGAACATTTGGAGGATACGTTACCTAACTTAATTTTTAAAATATATAATATATCCTTTACTGCCCACTGATCTCATGTGTAAAATAAGGGGGCTGCATCCAACAATCTTCCAGGATCCTACTGGTGCTGACCCTCCATAGTTGACTGTCTTCATGCCAATCACACTATTAGTGGCTGGCCTCCCCCCACCCAATTTATATGCTGAAATGCTCACTCCAAGTACCTCAGAATGTGACCTTATTTGGACATAAGGTTGTAGCAGATGTAATTAGTTAAGATGAGTCACAGTGGAGCAGGGTGGGCCACTAACCCAACACGACTGCTGTCCTTATAAAGGGAAAAGTTGGACATGGACAGGCACACAGAGAGAATGCCATGTGAAGGCTGGAGTTACACTGCCACACGTCAAGGAACTACCAGATGCCAGGAGAGAGGCTGGGGGAGATCCTTCCCTGCACCTTCAGGGGGAGGACAGCCATGCCATGCGACACTTGATCTTGAATTTTTAGCCTCCAGAACTATGAGACAAGTTCCTCTTTAAGCCACCCTGTTTATGGTGATGCTACAACAACCCTAGCAAACTAATAATACACCTCAACCAAAATTCACTGTCTTTACCTCAACATTTTATATGTATAAACATATAAGTGAAATCCAACTTAAGTATTCAAATGCAGTCAGCACATTAGAATTGAAGATTAGGGGGCAAACTGTTTCATGCAGAGGCTGTATAAATTCAAAAACTGGGTGAATCCTCTCTTGCCAATTTAAAATTAAGCGTGGCTGCTGATGGAGGTCAGTGCAGTAGCAAAAGGGAGCAGGTGAGGCTACTCTCTGTTTCTAATCATGTGGAGGGCCGGCTGCACAGCTGGTCTACCAACCATTAGTGTGTTTGCAACGAACCTCAGCTTGATGCTGGTATTCACTGCTCTCCTTGAGTCTCTCCTCTTGTTCCTGGTCAAACAGAGCATCCACTGGCACACGGAGCACCCTGTGGGTCAGAACTGGCTGTCCTCTCTGGCTGCTAACTCGGAAGATGATCCAGGGTTGCCCTGACCCCAACCTATGACTCTCCATCTGCAGTGGCCGTACTGTGCTAACCTGAAAAACTGTCCACATCTCTTTGTGTATTTGGTGATTTATTTCATTGATATCCCTATTTCCAAAAAGGACTTGAGGTGACTTAAAACAAAAACACCTGGCCAACAGGTACATTACGAACTGTGTGTTCTGAAATGGACAGGGTGGTTACACATTCTGTGAAGGCTGGGTTTTTTTGGAATTGAAAGGTCTTCTCAGATACCTAGTGGACATGGGGAGTGACTTAAAAATTGTTAAATTTTTGATAAATTAATCTTTTAGAAATTTTAGAAAACGAGAATTTTGATGAGAGCAAAAATACTCATAGGCCTTTTCTGTAGGAGATTGTCTGAATCAGCCTCATGTCCCAAAACAAACAAAAACACAGAACCATTTCTTCAAAAGACACACATATGGTACAGCTGCATTCTAATCTCAATTCCATATATACCATGTACAAACTACTCCATGGCAACACAGCCTGCTCCACTCTGAAAGCTGCATTAAATTGCATTCTTACAAAAAGGAAACTCGGTCCCTCATCATAGCAGCACACTGCACTAGTGTGGCACGAATGTTGGCCCCTCCTTAAATTGTTACAGTTGTC